TATTTAAAAGCCTCTTTACCAGCCAGTCCTATGCATGTTTCCTCAAAGCTAAGCCACACAACGGGATTTACTCCCTGTAGGATCGCAGATTTCAATTTGAAAAGGAAGCTAAAAAACACAACTGGGAACAGTAAAGATAGGATAGCTATCCTCAGGGGAACAACTATACAAAAAAAAAGCAATGATTCTATGGGGAAATGACAGTCCTCAACACACTTCCTGAATATCCCATTGCATAGAGTATGATCCCCATATCAACAGGGGATATGTGACTGAATTTCTAATGGATATGAAACCATAGATTATAGTGAACCCTATTACTTAGTCAATTATTATTATTTCAGTTATCATTACCAGAGCTGTGGTATTGAGAAGAGGGTTCAGCCTGTAGAGGAAGACCTAAGTGACTAAGTGAAACCATGGAATACTGGTTCTGTGGATATAGAGGTCATACTATTCATAAATATTCCAAGTTATTTCCACATTAGGAACACAAATCTCGAGAGAAAAATTAAAACAAAATAGCGTGACGGCAAGAAATTGCAAACAAACAAACAAACACACACACACACACCCCAAAAAAAACCCACCACACTTCTTACTGGTAGCAACCTTCCATTGTCACTGAGGGATCTCTTTCCCATAACCTACTACTCTGTGAACCTTTTAACCAGAAGTGCAGGGGACTAAATCTTTGACTTTCTGCAGCTCTAGCATTGAGCTATAACCTTAAAGCTAAATGCATTCTTCTAATATGGTGGTAGCCGTTCTTCTAATATGGTGGTAGTTAAAACCACTGTACATATCCTACTGTCCTCATAGAAACATGTTTATGTATTTATTTATTTAAAACACCTGCAAAAACCAGCATTAAAAAAATCACCCATAAATGGTTCAGATAACACAGTCAAACAAAATAAAATCATTGGTGACTTGATTTTTTAGGCCTGTTCCTTGGATTATTTGGGATGCTAGTTGAGAAAATTGCATTGGAAGGGCCACAACAGCTCTAGTATATTAGATATGGTTATCATGGTCCTCGATGGATGAGCAGATCAATTGGTAGGTGGCATATATTATGTATCTCAAAAACTGGAGTTGATAGGAGAAAACAGATACAATTTTAGGAATCAGCAGGTCAAATATGCCCAGAAACAGGACTAACATTTAAGGCACCAAAACATGTGTTGGCCAGTGACATCATTTTGTGATGCTCTTCCTGTTTTTGCCAGATTGGGCTGCTGTCTCCACCCTGTAAACTGAGAGGCAACACACCAAGATGTGAGAGGGTAGCAATTAATCATAAACACTTCCATTTACTTTAGGCTTGATTTAAAGCAAGGAGGGTTTGACCTTCAACACTTCCAACCTGTAACTCCCATTAGATTGAACCATATGCCCCTGGTAAGTAAGCATGGACCAAAACCTATAGCTTAAAAACCACTCTCCTCAAATTCCACCCCCCTCAAACAAATGCAGTGATATCTCTAGGAATCAGGTGCACAAACCCTGTCAAGAGGTTTAATTGCTTGAAAGTTGTGAGGTATTATTCTTCACACATTTATTAAAAACTAAGTCAAAGAACTAGAAACAAAAGCTTCTGTGAACATTGCTTCATTTGGCCAGGAAGTGAAAGGAGCACATTAGTTTCTAAGGAATAGTCTGGTTGTTCCAATTCTTATGCCATTAATATTTAAAACCTCATCATGGTAAACAATTAAACAGAGAAGCAAACGCCACATTCAAGGGAGGGATTCAAATCCCTAAATGGATTTCCAAAGGTCATTTCAGGCTGAAAAGATGCTTGATGGTATCTTTTTAAATCATGTTCATTTCAAAGGCTTATCTAGCAAAGGAGCAGACAGCAGTTTGCAGCAACACACTTTGATCCGTTGGTTTCCCCTGAGATAAATTAATAATAACAACTTTAATTCATATGTATAAAATGATCTGAGGTTACTTTCACAGTTTTTTCAAGCTACGGATTTTCTTAACAAAGGGAATTTTTAAAAGGTAACTTTGCTTTCAACCAAGTCCCACAGAGGTGTGGGGGATGGGGTGGACACTGAATTATAAACCAGCATTTAAAAAAATTCATCCAGTTAAAAACCAATTATCTTTTAAATGCAAGTTGTTTAAAAGGTTTGGCTTGTGAAGCTGTTTAACCGTGTGTGATGGGGAGGAGAGACTCAAGGGATACATAATAGGGCCTGACAGTTCCAAGTTTCAGCACAATGGCTCACATTTCTCTTCTCTCCTGATCCATTCGGATTGAAGTCTGATCCTGTTAGCATTCAGCCACTTCAAGTAACAGTCTCACCTTCTTTTCAATGTGGGCCAACTGGTCCTTATAGAAGGTGTCTCTGCGCTTCAGCTCCTCATCCTTCCACTGCAGCTCCTTGGACTAGGAGAAAATACAAAATAGGGTGTTAATGGAGGAGAAGGCCAAAGCAGGAATGAAAAGGGGAGATGCATGGAGACGAAAAGGGCAAAAAGGAAACAGTTCCAATCTGCCACACGACACCAAGCTGCTGGCAAGAAAAATAGCAAAAAGCTCTTTTTGTAGAAGAATGGTTTTATAATACTATTTAGTACCATTATCATGAAGTGGCTGGCAAGAGTCTGAGATCTTCTGACTTGGACTGATTGCATGTCTTTACTATAAGGCTGGACTATCAATGGGGCAACTAGAGAAAATGGTGAAGGACTCTGTGCTGCATGTGATACTGTCAAGAGAGAAATGGCCCTGTGGACAAATCCTTGCAAATGTCTTTTCCATTGATATCTCCAAGGTTTAGTAACATTTAGTCATCATCCCATTCACATTTCCCAGGAGTAGCACGACAGGAAAAGAGTCAGGTACACTGGAGCTCCTGCCTCTGAGATCCCAACCTCAGTCATACCAGCTGGGATGCAGACATCAGCAGGGACATCTCTGGTCCTAGGGGGGCTCATCTTGGTCTATAATAATCAATAATCCTGGTTCCTCAGCAGGAAAAAATGAAGTTTCCAACAAGAGAGCTTCCATAGGTACCCCATAGGGCCCTTCTTTTGGAACTGCTCTAGGCCACAGCTGCCCCGATCCAGCCTTGTTCTACACTGCTCACCAGGTAGAGTTACTACAATGTGGGAAGCAAAATAAAATAATAAATATCCTATTGTAACTCGTTAAGAGGATGACAGCCACCATCTGAAAATACCAGGGGTCAATAGTTTTCTTTTCCCTTCTCTCTAGTGGGACACGTGGTATCACAAATGACAGGTATTTCAGCAGGCAAATTGTCAGTTTTGGTAAAAACCCTTTCATCATGCAGAATTCTGAACATGTAAAAGAAAAGGATCACAAGCTCACATTGTATCGTATTTCTGCTAGTATCAGATTCACCCAGTCTCCCTCCATATACATAGGACAATGCAATCAACATAAGCTTGCTAAAAAAGTTTGTTTAAAAAAGCACCAGATAGAGCCATAGTATGCCATTTGATTACTTCTATGCTGGCTAACTTAGGCAGCAAAACCTTCTAAAGCCAATTAAAATCAAACTAGAAAATTCTTACTACAGCAAAATGATTGTTTAAATCCCACCAGTTTCCAATTTAAATCAAGCAAACTGATTATTTATTTATTTGCAGTATTTACATCCCACCCTTCTCACCCAGAAGGGGGTTCAGAGTGGCTTTACAGAATACAGACATACAGCAAACATTCAATGCTAATTATACACTTAACAAAGACAAACAACACAGACAGAAGTAAAGGCAGTTTCTTCTGGCATCTAATTCCAGACAGATGTAAATAAAAGGTATGCCCTGACATAGGAATTATAATATAGTACAATCAAGGGGATGGCTGAGCTGCCAGATACTGGAAACCAACTCCCATCATCCCTCAACATTGAATATGGTGGCTAGGACTGATAGGATTCCGAGAACATCTGGTTTAGCAGACAGTAATTTTATACTTCTGTTACTGATCAGTAAGCAACATATGTTTCATTGTTTCTACTAGTGTGGTAAGGGGGTTCATCACATGTCTTCCCATGGCATGAGAAAAAATGTCTTCCCTACATAATAATCACAGCCTCTCCTCAATGTTGTTGTTGTTCATTCGTTCAGTCGTCTCCGACTCTTCGTGACCTCATGGACCAGCCCACGCCAGAGCTCCCTGTCGGCCGTCACCACCCCCAGCTCCTTCAAGGTCAGTCCAGTCACTTCAAGGATACCATCCATCCATCTTGCCCTTGGTCGGCCCCTCTTCCTTTTTCCTTCCACTTTCCCCAGCATAATTGTCTTCTCTAGGCTTTCCTGTCCTCATGATGTGGCCAAAGTACTTCAACTTTGTCTCTAGTATCTTTCCTCCACTGAGCAGTCGGGCTTTATTTCCTGGAGGATGGACTGGTTGGATCTTCTCGCAGTCCAAGGCACTCTCAGAACTTTCCTCCAACACCACAGCTCAAAAGCATCGATCTTCCTTCGCTCAGCCTTCCCTAAGGTCCAGCTCTCACATCCGTAGGTTACTACAGGGAATACCATGGCTTTGACTAGGCGGATCTCTCTTCAATATTTACCATCATTTGCAAAGTTTCCCTTCCAGGGACATGGGTATCTAAAATAAAAAAATCTGGAAGGATGGGAGCATTAACACCACTCTGCTGACAATACCTCTTGAACAGTCTTCTCACCAGCCCATAGTATGGTTTACATTAGAAGGGGAGTTTTTACTTACAGACTTGTTCACAATAACTTGCTCATTTTAAAATGCTCCTTGTGGGAAGGCTACGGAAGAAAGGGAAATTAACTGCAAGACACTCTGCTCAGCTTAAAAATATTATTTTTGTTTTTTACTTTGCCGTCAGCTGTTATTCTTCAGAAGGAAAATACATGATGTTGTTGTTTTTGTTGTGATGCTTAAAATATGTATGATACAGCTAGAGAGGGTGTCATTTGAAAAATTCACCATATCAAACATTACAAAACTGGCAACCAGGGACTTTTTGTATGCATACAGGATGTCTAATAAGAGCTCCCTCTACCATGATACTTATTCCGTACTAAAGTCAGAAGCCTGTGATGTCCCAGAACAAACTGACTGCAGCAGAAATTATAATTTCAGAGAGTATGGACACCACAGGTAGCCAACAAAGTTTCAGAAATATTTTTCATGAAAAATGCTTATGCCAGCAGAAAAAAATTGATAATTTGATAGAGAAATGTTATAGCCTGCTTTTTATTTAAAAGTCTGTGAGTTGCAGTTCTGTTCACGTTTGTGTTTATAAGGCCAAATGGGGACATGAATATTATGTATTCGACACTTTTAACTTACACATTACACAGTGTGAGAAATTCCACTTGGCTGAGAAAACTTTCCAGGAGTCTACCAGGCCCAAACTCCTATGGTAGAAGTGGAAAGCACTATTTCTAACCTTTTTCCTAACAACCAAGCTTACTGATCGTTGCTTATACATTCCCTGAATCTGCCGTTCCACACATACCATAATTATCACAAATTGAGAAGAAAACTAACAAGATGCTCAGAAGCAGCTATCAACAATAAGAAACAGGGAGGAATTGACTGATGTATTTAAGATCCAAAAAGAGATGAACTGAGGCAAGACTTGTGATTCCTTTACCGCATTCAATTGCCCAACAAGTAGTAACAATCCCCTATCCAGTGTTTAACCTTTTGTCTCAGAAAGACCAAGAGGTCTGAGACATTTTATATTTACAGTAAGGAAATTTGGGGATCCTAAAACTGAAGCACAGAAGCAATCATATGCCCACTTTGAAAGCTTCACAGAGCTCCTCTTTCTTTCTCCTGAAAGTACTGTGAGCTCAAAGGTTTGTTACGCATTCCTATGAATTTAATTTAACCAATTAATGTTATCATCCGAATAATTCTGTACTGCCTGCATCTTCTTTTTTTTATTTTTTTATTGTCTTTATTGCAAAATTTTTCTTATACATATATTAAAACAACAATAAGTGGGGTAGGGGAAAGTGGTGTAGGTTATAGGATGTCTGGTTGGGTGAGGGGGTGGGGGTCGAGGAAACAACTGGGTGTGGAGTACAAAAGGGGTTGAATGGGGATGGGTAATGGGAGCAAGGGGGAGGGAAGGTAGGTGTGGGGGAGGGGAATAAAAACATCATGACTTCCAGTTGAAACAGACAGATAATTATTTCTTTTATACATTATTGGTGATTAATAATACAACAGCTTTCTTCCTATATTGGTCTCAGTCTCACTATGTCCTCATTAAGTTTTATTTCCTCTTTTCAAGGTATTCCAAGAAGTCGCTCCAATCTGTGTTCTTCTTTTTATCGCTGTTAATTCTTAGTCTTTGGGTTAGGAGGTCCATATTCATCACATCATAAACTTTTAAAGTCCATTGTTCTATTGTTGGGACCTCTCCGGATTTCCAGAGCCTTGCCAATTGGATTCTGGCCGCTGTCGAGAAGTGAAAAAACGTCTTACTCTCGTTGCTATTTGTGTCAAACTCACARTCCGTTATGCCCAAAAGATAGTATTCGGGCTTTAGGGGAAATTTCTTTTTCAAGATTTTCTCTATCTCACCATGTATTTTTCTCCAGTACAATCTCACCTYTCTACATCCCCACCACATGTGTATGAARGATCCCGTATTCTTTTTACATTTCCAGCATTTTTGTTCCAGTTTCCCTTTACTGAATCTGGCCAGTTGTTTAGGGGTCAGGTACCATCTAAAAAATAGTTTGTACCAGTTCTCCCTATAATCGTTGGAATATGTATACTTCAGGTTTTTTTTTCCAGATTCCCTCCCATTCCTTGAGATGGATAGGGCGGCCGATGTCTTTTGCCCATTTTACCATATTGCTTTTTACTTGTTCTTTTTCTGTCTCCCACCTCAGTAGCACCTGATATAATTTCTTTATGTGTTTACCCTCGGTATTGATAATTTTTTCCCAAAAGTTGTTCTCTGCTTCAAATCCTGTTTTGAGGTCTAGGTTGTAACTTTCTCTTATTTGGTGGTACTGAAACCACGAGAGTGTGGGATCGTAGCTCTTTAATTCCTCCTGAGATTTTAGAGTTGGATTGCTTGGTGGGCCTTTTATTATTTCTTTATAAGTCAGCCACTTTTCTCTGCACATTTCAAAATCAGCACATTAATCACTCTTGTGGCCCACATAAAGATCAAGGCAAGTCAATTCCATAACACAAACTGCAGCCATTATTCCTGTTAACAATGGGGATTCAATGAGGATTAATGCGATGGGCTGCAATTCCATGCTAAAGAAAGAAGAGTCCTTAAGTCAAAGGCATTCTGCGCCTCCAAGATCAGCTCTTATCATCTTCTTCTCCCAAACAGAAATGTATCAGTCTGACCTAAGAAGACTTCACATACTGTACTCCATTGTCTTAGATTTCAT